GGACTAGCCTGGGTTGTTTGTAGTAACCTAGAAGGATCTTGGAATGAGGCCGGGAGATGTAATTTCTGTGACCAACAAGTTGCCTATTCAGAGAACTTGCTAGAACCCATCTAAATACAGTATCATTCTGTCACTGAAATAAGAGAATGTAGGAGGAGAACCTCTTAAGGAGATCAAGGACTTTGAATTCAAGGACTCCGATTATCTTCTCACAGCAATTGCAAAAAAGATACGCTTTTGCTGAAAATAATTTTGTAAATGTTAGCAAAGAATGCCTTCATATTTTAATAGGCTTTTAAAAAATTAAAGTAGTTTGCATTTGTTGATTCTTTGCTCTTTCCCTAATACGAGTTATGTTACCTTTTTGCTCAGTCAGTGCTGTGAAGAGTTGATAATATCTACAGTCATCTTTTGATATTGGTAATCTCTATTTTCTGGGTGAGTTAAAACTAGAATCACCAGAGGAAAAGTTGATCTAAATGATTGTTCTTCCATCACACACACTAACCATTTGGTTTGATCCCAGCTTTAACACTAGAAGATTCTTTATAATGATGGAAATTATGACATACCTTTGATGATGATAGACTCCTCTGCTCTTTCCCGGGTCTTAACCGACACTGCCACTGCTGTGCAGGACTGAGACTGTTCATAGCAACAGTGGGCTCTAAGGAATGGCCACCAAGAACTGTGAGAGGGTTGCAGATAAGCTGCGCTTCCATGGATACCCCTCTGGGGAACCCAGTACTTGCCTAATGCCAATTATCTTATGCCACAGCCTAATTGCTAAGGGTATAAATGTTTTCAACAAACATTATTACTTTTTTTTTAATTGAAGTACAGTCAATTATAGTGTGTCAATTTCTGGTGTACAGCACAATGTCCCACTCATGTATATACATACATATGTTTGTTTTCATATTTTTTCATTAAAGGTTAATACAAGATATTAAACATAATTCCCTGTGCTATACAGAGGAAACTTTTTTTAAAGTCTATTTTTATATATAGTGTCTAACATTTGTTAATCTCAAACTCCCAAATTTAACTCTTCCACCCCCTTTCCCTGGTAAGATTGTTTGCTATGTCTACGAGTTTGTTTCTGTTTTGTAGATGAGTTCATGGTGTCCTTTTTTTTTAGATTCCACATATGAGTGATATCATATGGTATTTTTCTTTCTCCTTCTGGCTTTACTTAGAATGACGATCTCTATGTCTATCCACGTTGCTGCAAATGGCATTATTTTATTTTTTATGGCTGTATTGTATAAATATACCACAGCTTCTTTATCCAGTCATCTGTCAGTGGACATTTAGGTTGTTTCCATGTCTTGGCTATTGTAAATAGTGCTTCTGTGAACATTGGGGTGCATGTATTTTTTTGAATTAGAGTTCCCTCCAGATACATACCCAGAAGTGGGATTGCTGGATCACATGGTAAGATCTGTTTTTAGTTTTTTGAGAAATCTCCATACTGTTTTCCATAATGGCTGCACCAAACTACATTCCCACCAGCAGTGTAGGAGGGTTCCCTTTTCTCCACAGCCTCTCCAGCATTTATCGTTCATGGACTTTTGAATGATGGCCATTCTGACCGGTGGGAGGTGACACCTCATTATCGTTTTGATTTGCATTTTTCTGATAATTAGTGATATTGAGCATTTTTTCATGTGCCTATTGGCCATTTGTATGTCTTCCTTGGAGAATTACTTGTTTAGGTCTTCTGCCCATTTTTGGATTGGGTTGTTTGTTTTTTGTTGTTATTATTAAGTTGTATGGGCTGTTTATATATTCTGGAAATTAAGCCCTTGTCAGTTTCATCTTTTGAAAATGTTTTCTCCCATTCTGTAGGTTGTCTTTTTGTTTTGCTTATGGTTTCTTTTGCTGTTCAAAAGCTTATAAGTTTAATTAGATCCCATTTGTTTATTTTTGCTCTTATTTCTGTTGCCTGGGTAGACTGCCCTTGGAGAATATTGCTAAGATTTATGTCAGAGAATGTTTTGTCTATGTTTTCTTCTAGGAGATTTATCATGTCTTGTCTCATATTTAAGTCTTTAAGCCATTTTGAGTTTATGTTTGTGTATGGAGTGAGGGAGTGTTCTAACTTCATTGATTTATATGCTGCTATCCAGTTTTCCCAATACCACTTGCTGAAGAGACTGTCTTTTTTCCATTGTGTATTCTTGCCTCCTTTGTCAAAGGTTAATTGACCACAGGTCTGTGGATTTATTTCTGGGCTCTGTTCTGTTCCATTGATCCGTATGTCTGTTTTTATGCCAGTACCATGCTGTTTTGATTACTGTAGCTCTGTAGTATTGTCTGAAGTCTGGGAGAGTTATTCCTTTAGTTTCATTCTTTGTCTTCAGTATTGCTTTGGCAATTCTGGGTCTTTTGTGATTCCATATAAATTTTAGGATCATTTATTCTAGTTCTGTTAAAAAAAAAAAGTCCTGAGTAATTAGATAGGGATTGCATTAAATCTGTGGATTGCCTTGGGCAGTATGACCATTTTAACAATACTGACTCTTCCAATACAAGAGCATGGGATAGCGTTCCATTTCTTTAAATCATCTTCAATTTCCTTAATCAATGTTTTGTACTTCTCCATGTATAAGTCTTTCACCTCCTTGGTCAGATTTATTCCTAAGTATTTTATTGTTTTGGATGTGATTTTAAAAGGGATTGTTTCTTTACTTTCTTTTCCTGCTAATTCATTGTTAGGGTAAAGAAATACAACTGATTTTTGTATGTTAATCTTGTATCCTGCTACCTTGCCAAATTCTTTTATCAGCCCTAGTAGTTTTTTTGTGGAGCTTTTAGGGTTTTCTATATATAGTATCTTGTCATCCCCTTACAGTGACAATTTTACCTCTTCTCTTCCAATTGGATCCATTTTATTTCTGATTGCTGTGGCTAGGACTTACAAGATTATATTGAGAAGAAGTGGTGAGAGTGGGCATCCTTGTCTTGTTCCAGATTTTAGTGGGAAGGCTTTCAGTTTTTCACTGTTGAGTACTATTCTGGCTGTAGGTTTGTCATAAATAGCTTTTATGATGTTGAGATATGTTTCCTCTAAATCCACTTTGGTAAGAGTTTTTATCATAAATGGGTGAATTTTATCAAATGCTTTTTTTTTGCATGTATTGAGATGATCATGTGGTTTTTGCCCTTTCTTTTGTGGATGTGGTGTATCACAGTGATTGATTTGCATATGTTGAATCATCCTTGTGTCCCTGGGATGAATCCAACTTAATCATGGTGTATGATATTTTTTATGTGCTGTTGGATTCTGTTTGCTAATATTTTGTTGAGGAGTTTTGCATCTATGTTCATCAGTGATTTTCTTTTTTGGTAGTGTCTTTGTCTGATTTTGGTATCAGGGTGATGATGGCTTCATAGAATGAGTTTGGGAGTACTCCCTCCTTTTTAGTCTTTTGGAAGAGTTTGAGAAGGACTGGTGTGAGTTCTTTGTATGTTTGGTAGAATTCCCCAGTGAGGCCGTCTGGTCCTGGACTTTCGTTTGGAGGGAGGTATTTTATTGCTAATTCTGTTTCATTTCTAATGATCGGTCTGTTCAAGTGGTCTATTTCTTCTTGATTCAGTCTTGGTGAACTGTATGTTTCCAGAAAGTTGTCCATTTCTTCTAGGTTGTCTAGTTTGTTTCCACAGAGTTGTTAATAGTATTCCCTTACAATATTTTGTATTTCTGTGGTATTGGTTGTAATTTCTCCATTTTCCTTTATTTTTGTTCTCTCTTTTCTTCTTGGTGAGCCTGGCCATCAACAAACATTATTTGAGAACCTGTCCTCCTTCTAAGCTTTTATGCTCCTACTAGAACATTGCATGTAGATATCCAACAGGAACATAACTCAAACCAATATTATCTTTTTCTCAAAATTTCCTCTACCGTCTGAGGCTACCCTTCTTCTTGTAGTCTGCCATGGTTAATGGTGACACCACTTAATCTCTCAAACTTGAACTTGAAAATTTGGAATTACCTGTACTCTTCCCACTACATACTTTCTGTATGTAATAAGTTATTAAAGCTCTGTTTGTTCCACCTCCAGAAATGTTTTTCAAATCCATACTGCCTTTTGGCCCTGAAATACCACTTAAGGTCAAGCCCAGTTTATTTCTCCCGTGAACTATTTCAACAATCCTCTTAACTAAAATTTTTGTCTCAGGAGTGCCAGAGGGCCCGTGGCAGCGACCCTGGCCCCATCCCACACCCCAGGCCCGTCTGCCACTGCCATGGCCTCTGGTGCTCAGTTTGCAGAAGATGCTGCTGCTGAAGCTTAAGGGGCTGCAGGGGGAGCTAGTGGAGGGCTTCCGAGTGACCCTGGTGGATGAGTGTGACCTGTACAACTGGGAGGTTGCCATCTTCGGACCCCCAACACCTACTATGAGGGCGGCTGCTTCGAGGCACGCTGCAAATCCCCAACAGCTGTCCTCACTCCCTGCGGGCCTTTTGGTTCCTGACTATGATGTTGCACCCCCACATCTACGAGACTGGGGACATGTGCATCTCCATCCCCCAACCCCAGTGGATGACCTCCAGAGCGGGGAGCTGCCCTCAGAGAAGGGAACCCCACCGAGAACATCAGGACCATCCTCCTGGGCTCAACGAACCCAACACCTTCTCACTGGCCAATGTAGACACCTCTGTGATGTACAGAAGGTGGAAAGAGAGCCAAGGCAGCAGCCAGGGGTACGAGGACATCATCTGGAAGCAGGTCCTGGGCTGAGGTGGACACAGAGGCGACGACGAGAAGGTGCCCACCACGCCCGTTGGGTATGGCATGAGACCGAGGCCCGGGTGCCAGACGGGGCTCCGACCTGCTCTACGAGGACGGTGAGGCCGAGGCCGGTAGCTGCTTCGGGGATGACTGAGGCAACGAGGGGTCCCACACCGCATTCTCACGAATAAAGTTACAGATTTCACCTCAGCCGGCCCGACTGTGGGCTCTCGGGCACCCAGGTCACCGCCACTGCCTCCTCACCTCCGGGAGGGGTGCGCTCCCGCTGGCGGGCCTGGGTCTTCTCAGCTTCCAGGCGGCGCCGCCCGCTGGGGTGTCCTCGGGGCCGCGTGAGCTGCGTGCGGCTCGGGGGCCTGGGCGCCGCGGACCCCGTGTTGGAGCCAGAGACTTGTGGGCCCAGCTCGCGAAGGGACAGGTTAGCTCGAGGTCACCTCTTCCCTGCTTTGATTTGTTTGGAATCCAAATAAAGTGACATTATAAGAAAAAAATTTTTTTTATCTCTAATCTCTTCTATTCCTCTCTCATGAAATTATCTTAAAAAAAATTACTCTCTTGATTAATAACCCTTGCCTTTTGTTTTCATGGTTCTCCAGTTTGCTTTTTTTTTTTAGCCTCAACATTGTATTCTGGACATTTTTCCATATAGTTTACTTAAATCTGTCTTCTTTTAATGCTGCACAGTATGAGTACATAAGATGTAACTATTTCTCTATGAATGGACACTTATGTTATTTAAATTTCTTTTGCTGTTACAAAAGGATACTGAAGTGGATGTCCTTGAAGATGCCTTTTAAAAAATTTTTTTAAACTTTTTTTTAAATTGAAGTATAGTTGATTTACGATGTTAAATTAGTTTCTGGTGTACAGCAATAGTGATTCAGTTATACATATATATATTCTTTTTCATTACAGGTTACTGCAAGCCATTGAATATAGTTCCTTGTGCTATACAGTAGGAGAACATGTCTTTTTGTACGTAGGTGCAAGTATGTAGATACCAGAAAGTAGAATTTCTGGGTCAAAATGAATATACACTTAAAATGTTAATAGACACTGACAAAACTTTACGAAAAGTGCCTGTGAACTTATACTTTCAGTCTGCATGCTTGTTTGTTTTTTTTTTTCAAGACCATTTTAAATCTGGACCTAATGTACTTCTCCTGGCCTCAGTTCTCTTGTAAATTGATATGTTCACTCATTTACTTGGTCACTGCCAGCCACCACCCAAGCTTTTATTCAGTACAGATTGTTTGCCGGTTACCCTGCTGTATGCTGAGGATTTAGCACTGGATAAGACAGATGAAGTCTCTGCCCTCTAGCCTCTTACTACATGGAACTTTTTGCCATTCCCAGACCTTTTTTATGCATTTGCAGCTATTGTTCTCTCTTCCTGGTGTGACTTTTTTATTCCTTTTAACTTTTCTGCCTAGAGAATTTTCTTTGATCATACTTTAACCCTTTTCACCAGCTTAGATTTTATCCTCTGTCATATGTTCCCCATCTCCCCTCACGTAGAGTTGGATAGGCCTTCCTTCGTGGTCTTTCTTACCACTGCACTTACATCCTTTTTATAATGTTTATCCTGAGGAGGTTTAATTACTCATTTATGTATGTGTTTGCCCGTGTGTGTCTGCAAGTGTATGTGTAGACCTCTCCTACTAGATCGTGAGCTGAGTAAGGCGAGAGCTTACAGTGTTTACCTTAATGCTCCCCCAGCTTAATGCTTTAAACACTGGAGATGCTTTATAAATGTTGACTGAGTGAATGCATGGCAAGCTAAAGATGAATTTATTTTGTACAGGGCACTCTAGGGGCTTGTGAATGTGACTGGAATCTTGTCAGTCTTCAGGGACCTAACCGTGTTGTCAGGGAGATGAGGAACAGATAAGTGGCCCACAGGGCAAGTTGTGATCAACTGTGTAGAAGCACAAATGAATACTGGAGGATTTAATGGGGGAGATTAATTCTCATGAGTGAGGTATTTTGGTAAATTTTCAGATGAAAAATTTTCTTGCTTGTGCCAGGTATTATTGTGAGGCGTAAGATACAGTTCCTGGCTGTAAGAGTTTTTAAGTCAAATTGGGCCTTAGAGTGGAGACTGGCCTGTGGGCCTGTTTTTGTATAGCCAGTGAGCTAAGAGTGATACTTGAATTTTTGAAATTGTTTTTATAAAAGAATGTTTTGTGATATGTGAAGTTATATGAAATTTAAATTTTAGCATCTGTAATTTTTGTTGGAACATAGGTACGTTTATTTGTTTACCCGTTTTGACTACATCTGTGCTCGAACAGCAGTTAAGTAGCTGTGACAGAGACGGTTTGGCCTGCAGTGCCTGAAATATTTATTCTCTGGCCTTTTACAGAACTAGTCTGCTGACTTTGTGGTTTGAAGATGGGAAAGATTCAAATAGAGAAGAGAAAGACATTTATATTGAGAGGAGTAGTTTGAGTTAAGAGAGTGGAACAATGAATACTGCAGTCATCTAGAAGCTTTAGAGCTGAAACGATGATCTAGCTTAACCTTTTATTTTACAGATAGACAGAAGATCAAAAACTGTCCAAGTCCACATGACTGGTAACGGGCAGTGTGCACTGGAGTTACTGGAGCAGAAGCTTTGCGGACTTCAGAGGATGATAAGATAATTGCAGGGGTAGGGCCAGATCATGAATGGCCTTGCCCTTGAAAAATGAGAGTTGAAGAACAAACTAAGAATAGACTTTCTCTCTTCTCTGAGTGTAATCTTTCTTTTTTTCTCTTGTATTTCTAGAAGGCCTTTGAGCCCTACTTCGAGATTTTGGAAGTGTATTCCACAAAGGCCAAGAATTATGTAAACGGGCATTGCACCAAGTATGAGCCCTGGCAGCTGATTGCATGGAGTGTCGTGTGGACCCTGCTGATAGTCTGGCTGTACCATTTTGTCTTCCAGCCAGAGAGTAAGTACACTGTCCCGTCTGTAAAGTATAGTGGAGTTACCCTGGCTTTGAAACTCATGGCTAATGGGTTGGACTGATTTCTTGCCTGATTGGGTTGGTTTTGATTTTTTAAATCTGCTTAGTTGGAAAGCAGGACATTGCCTTCTGACTGGTAAAGTTTTAATGGGACTGTTGTGTAACTGTAACTGTTTATGTTGATTTTTCTGGTTTTGCAGTTTACGTAAAAACCCGTAAGGGATTAGTCATTGTAAGGATCCACAGAATGTGACTTAAATGGTCTTCACTTTTAGTTTCTTGCCTAGAACATAATTGTGTCACCTGGAGTTCCCAAGCATGAATTTATTGCTTTCATTTTTAGGCCATGCTTTCAATAAAGATGATGTGAAATTGGAACAACACTCCTGCAGGGACCGTTGGAATGTCTTCTATGTGCCAGGCACTGCACCAGGCTCTAGGGTTATCCACACAAGTGGTGCAGGGTCCCTGTCCTCTTGGAGTTAACCTCTGCTATCGGGGGACAGTACACTTTGAGTTTCCTGGGTAGTGACTCACAGAGCCAGATTGACATGGGAAGAGGAGGCCACTTCTCAGGAAGTGTGGAAGATGAGAATCTGTTAGTGATCAGTTTGTAAATCCTCCATCCGTCCTGAGATCCTGCCCACACTCCCTGCAACACCCCCACCGCTGTCCCCAGCCTGGTTGTATGTTACCTCCTAATGAATTCTTTCCCCTCACCCCACAGGCTGTGTTTGGTAAATAAATGGTAGGAGTGGTGGTGGGTGTTCTGGAACACTCCCCTGCTCTCCTTCCTCACCCTTAGTAGAGTATCTGAGTTAATAATATGGGTGAGAATTGCTTATCATTTCTCATTTGTTTAAAATCTACATAACTGTTGCTTCCCCGAGGACATCTGTTTGAAGGGGCTCTAACTGAATATTTTTTCTGCTTTTCTTCCTCTTTGTCCGGGAAAGTCAACTTAGAGGCCAGATTCTGCTTTCTTTCTTTACCATGCAGATAGCCATCCAGTTGTTCCTGTAACATTGCCAAATTATGGCGGAGCAAACTGTGCGTGTAATTAATGTGGAACTGAGACATGACTGCCCTGTAAGACTTTTAGTTCACTCCAGCTTTAAAAACCCTGTCCTTAGTTTCTACTCCTAGTCTTTGCAAGATTTTCTCATAAACTCTGACAAATTAGACAGATTAACCCTTCTGCTTCATCTGCTCTGTGGTTTAGAAATAGACACAACCCTTGTCCTTCGGCTCAGGCTTATTCCTTTCCTGGGAAGCCTTTGATTCAGTGCTGCTCTCTGCCCTACTCCTGTCCTTCCAGGTGAAGTGACCTATTCCAGAGGCTTCTGATGAATAACAATAATGTACTTTCCTTTCCTTTTTTATTGCGATAAAATATATATAACAAAATTAATCATTTTACCCATTTTTAAGTGGACAGTTCAGTGCATTAAGTACATTCACATCATGCAACCGTCACTACCATCCATCTCTAGATCTTTCTTATCATCATAAACTCTGGTATCTGTTAAACACTAACTCCCCATCACTCCCTCTCCCCAGCCCCTGACAGCCAGCATTCTGGGTACTTTTCCTTTTAAGGTGGTGCATTTGTAAAACCAAACTAAGGTCAGAGATCTTGAAATTTATATTTCTTTGCTGTGATCAGTGTTAGTTTTAGGTATTCACTTCTGTTTTCAGTTGTGCAGCCCACGATGCCCATGTGTCTTTTGCATAACTGATAGCAGAAGTACTGCCATCTGAGGACCTGGTACTTACTTACCTGCCATTAGTGTTGTAAAAAGAATGTGTCAGCCTCTGAGCATGCTGTGAGAAAGTTAATAGTGGCAGTGTGTTAATGGTATGTGCTGTCTAAATCTGCGTGAGCTGAACTCAAAGCCATTGCTGTTGTTTTATTTTTAGTAGCATTTTTTTCTTATTAAAGCAGTACATGTTTATTGTATAAAATTAGGCAATATAGATAATCCATAAGAACAAAATTAAAATCTTGTTATCTAGAGATAACCACTATTTATGTATCTGTATCTCTTTCTATGTCTGAATTGAGTTGAACCATACAAAATACAGTTTTTGTTGGTCAAAAATTGTTGAATATTGGCAATTTCATATAACCTTAACACATATACACACACAACACCTTTTTATTTTGTAACTTCCAACTTGAATATTAGACACAGATAGAAATGTCTTCCCTCCAGAGATTGGAGATAATTTTGATAGAATTGCCATTTTTTTCATCACCTGGCTCATGTAGCAGAAGTATTCTACATATCACTGAATACCCAGCTGCTTTTAGTATATTGCCCTAGAGGAGTCTAAAGTCTGGACTAGTAATAAATTTTGCTGATCTTCAAACTTTGAGTACCTGTCTGAGGAGGAGAGGGTAACTGGAACACAGGGTGGACATGGGGAGATAAGATAAGAACTGGATGTGGCAGGAGGGGATGTCAGGGGCGGGCAGGGTTTGCAGCCCTCTAAGTTGTTAGCTCTTCCTTTATTCTGCTCCGTGGTTATCAGCTCATATCCTTATTAACTGATGTTGACTTTAACTGTGAGATTGTGCATAGTTCATTCTTAGCCTGTTTCCTCACAGCAAGATGGGTATAAAAATAAAATACCTGCCTTACCTAGCAGGGTGATGTGAGGGCTGAGTGGCATAATTGGTGTGAAAGTAAATTATAAACTGTAAAGAGCTGTGCGTTGTTGGTCTTAACTGGCATTTTCTATTTTATTACCTTAAAACATTCTAGTTACTTTTTTCTGTACCTTTGGGGACTTTTGCTTTTGAGATAATCTTTTTTGTTTGTTTTTTAAAATGAAAAAATTTTTAAAAAAATTTTTGGGGTAGGTAATTGAGTTTACTTATGTATGTATATATGTATGTATGTATGTATTTATAGAGGAGGTACTGGGGATTGAACCCAGGACCTCGTGCTTGCTAAGCATGTGCTCTACCACTTGAGCTATACCCCCCCACCAAGATAATCTTTTTTGATGACATGATCTTTTTATTTTTAATCTCTCCGTCTTTGATCCTGTATTTTGCTCTTTTCACTCAACCTGCACCATTTTATCTCACTGTGTTCACAAAATTAGTGTATTCTTTTATCCTCCATCTAGTCACATTGGTGTACTTTTGGACACCTGACTGAGCTTGCTGATTTCCAGACCTCTTTTTACCTCATTAATTAATTACTTCAATTATTAAATAAGGAAGTGGTTCTGAATCTTAACAGCTTCAACATTTTTAGAAATAGTCAAATAACAAGCAGCTTAAATAGCCAACACTAAGTTATATTAATTTGATGGACTGTTATGGTAACATTTAAAAAGACATTTAGGAAGAATTTTTAATAATATAAAAATGCCATAAATGAGAAGAAGATGTTATATTGTACAAACAATAAGATCTCAGCTATGTATTACAATATATAGAATGTAGGACTGAAAGGAAATACTCCAAAATTTAAAAAAACTGCCAACAGTGGTTTCAGTCACTTTGTCTAGTTAGTCTGTGTCTTAGTTACCTGGTTTTGTCCCAGACATTTACAGAGTGTTGACCTCAGTGCTAGGCACTGAAGGATACAAACTAAGCAAAAATAGCTATTAAAGATGCAGGGCATCATAATAAATACCCAACGAAAGTAGACACACATTCTGTGAGAGCTCTTCTGGCCAGGGAAATTGAAACACTCAGATCTCCTAGGAAAGCAGGGAAGTTCATTCAGTTCATGCCTTGTATCCTTGTATAAAGCCTAGGTTTAGATTCCTTAGAGGTTCATTTGGCATAAGTGAAAATTCCTACTGGGCATTTGAAGCAGCGTAGAGTCCTGGGAGTCCAGGACTAGGAAGACAAAGGCTTCAGTTAAATCCCTGCCCCATCACTGATTTGATCTGTGGCCTTGAGCAGGTTATTAATGCTTTGATCCTTAGTTTTCTTGCGGTGATAGGTAGTGCCTTCTGTGCCAACCTCAAAATCTTGTTGTCAGAGTGAGTTCAGATATATATATATATAAAATGTGAATTCATTTAAAGGTGTAATCGTCTATTTAGATGCCATCTTTTTATAATTATTTATGATGGACAGGATCAGAATTCCATATTTAACCTATTTACTGCCCAAAAGAATGGAGTCTGATTGGTGTCCATGAAGTTGAAGGCCTTTTTAGGTCCAGAAAATGTTGCTGGGGTGTGGGTTGAATGAGAAAATGGAGCATAGATCCTGGAAAGAAAAAACACGGGTTGGTCATTTGTTTTGAAGGAGGGAAGAAAAATGTTGCACACCTGCAACACTTTTGATCCAGCAATTCTGTTTCTGGGAATTTATCCTGTAGGGTATATACTCTTATGTATGCAGGGTGTTGTGTATTACAAGGCTAGCTGTTTCAGCACAGTTTGTAATAGCAAATATTAGAAACAACCTAAGTTTCCATCAGGAAGGGGCATGTTAAGTAAATTAGAGTACATCTTGGGGGAGGGTGTAGCTCAGTGGTAGAGTGAATGCCTAGCATGCATAAGGTCCTGGGTTCAATCCCCATTACCTCCATTTAATATATAAATAAACCAACCAGCCTAATCCCCCCCCCACCAAAATTAGAGTACATCCATCTAATGGAATATTCTGCAGCTATAAAAATGAATGAGGAAGCACTGATCTTTAAAAGAATATTCCTAAATAGAAAAACAAGGTCTAGTACAGTAGTAGTGGTATGCTACCTTTTGTGTAAAAGGGACAAATATGAATATGTCTTTATTCTTGCTTGTATATTCATAAAGAAATTCTAGGGGAGTATCTAGAAACTAATAGTAGTGTTTACCTGGAGGTAGGATGGGGGTCTGAGGGATAGATGAGAATGTGTGTGTGTCTCTGTGTGTGTGCCTTTTTTTTTTTTAACCATGTAAATATATTACTTATTCAAAAATTGAAAGTTTTTTTTTTTTTAATGGAAAGAAACTACCTCTGCAGTCTGAAGGCAAGTGAGATTGCGGAGGATATATTGAATTCATTCATACATTATGATTAGCAGGTCATACCCATGGAAATTTATTTGGATAATAGAACCATTTGTTTCTTTAAGGTTTATGGTCAAGATTTAAAAAGAGATGTTTTAAGCTCATCCGGAAGATGCCTATTGTTGGTCGCAAGGTATGTAGAATCTGTGTGTATCTTTCTCCTCCTCTGCCCCCCACTCCCATGATCATTATACCTTTTTCTATTTACTGAACCTAGGATTCTTAAGGGGATGAGTGATTTTTGTTCCCCACCTCCAAGAAACAGTTGACAGCATTTTTGGATGTCACAGCTGGAGGTGGCTGATTCCGGCACCTAGTGGGCAGGGGCCCGGGTGCCGCTGCAGGCCCTCCGGCGCACAGGTCAGTCCCCACAGTGGGGGCGACCTGACTCACAGTGTCAGAAGTGCCAGCATGGAGAGGCCTGCCTTAACCCTTTCTCTGACATGTTTGACCAAAGGAGAAAGGAAATGTCTGTTAAAGAAGAATCTGAAATTAGACAGCCTGACAGAAGTGACACGAAGCTTTAGAGCAGTAGTGGGCTGGGCTGATTCAGATACTTAGCCAGGCTTGAGTGCTCCCATGGTTTAGATCAGGGTCGGGAACCTTTTTTTATAAAAGGCTAGATAGGAAGCATTTTAGGCCCTGCAGGCCGTACTGTGTCTGCCACAGCACCTCACCTCTGCCCTTGCAGAGGGAAAGCAGCCCTAGGACAGCGGGTGGAAGAATGAGCCTGGCTGTCTTCCAGTGAAGTTCTCTACAAAAATAGGTGCAGGCCAAAGTTGGCCTGTAGTTTGCTGATCCCGGGATCAGAAACAGGTAACAGAGCCATTCTCTTGCTTTGTCCATGTCTGAAGTCTCAATACTCCCTTGGCTGGATCCTCTCTGCCCCCACCCATGCTGAGGATAAGACAGTCACCTCTGCACCCTTCCCACAGCTTCTTTATCACAGAGAAGAGAAACAGGACAGGCCCCACTGCAGGCTCTAAGGAAGGCATATGATCCTTGATGGCTTCATTTCTCCCAGGTCCCTATCCTGCCTTCAACTTTCCTGCAAGCTTTTTTTCACTTTTGGCTTTCAGTTCCTTTTCCCCTTTCCTGGCCAAACCAGAAAAGATAGCAATTAGCTTCAACCTTTGACTGAAATCCATTCAGACCATTGTGCTAACCCTCCCGGAACTTTATATTTTCAGGTTCATTTCCTGTGGAGAAGTGGAGGAAATCATGGGTGGAGAAGGAGAATGAGAGAAATGAGGGCTTTTATTTGACCCCAAATCATATTAGGCCCTAAAATTAAATCTGCTTTAGTCCTTCTGGAATAAAGGGTAGGGGAGAGGGAAGGTACAAAGGATGGACTGAGCACAAAGGATAATTCCTTTTCCCCTTAACATTCCCTGTATTTCTTCTGCCCTTATTCATCACACTTTTCTCATTCAGTTTCAGATTTTGAGACAAATGCCTGGGATTCCAGAACCCATTAAATTTACGTAATAACAGACCTGGAAGGTACTTAGAAACTGTATAATCACCTTTCAGTTTTTAGAAGCAGATATTGAGGCTCAGTGACAAGAGTTCTTTTTTTTTTTTTTTTTTTTTGAGTAAGTGAGTGTGTGTCCCCCTCTCACTCATTCATTTACATTCACTTCCTCAACATGTGTTATTGCTCAGTGTCAGGTAGCATTCTGGGTGATCAGGAAGAAGACTAAGTCCTTCCCTCCATGGAATCTATATGTCAGTACTAAGAAAGACAGAAAATGAATAGGTAAACAAATACATAAGAATTTCATTTTAAAAGAATGCTGTGATGAAATTAAAATGCGATGGAGGTTCTGAGGCAAGAATTGGGGTGGGGAAGTGCGTGCTCTGCTTTCTAATACACCTCTCATCATTTTTGTTTTATTTTATTACAACAGCATCGTCTATGCATGGAAGCTCAGCTTTCATAGTTTGTTCCTGTTACATTTATGCAGTGTAATTCTTCATATGTACAACTTTAAAAAATTATCTTTGTGTCCATCATATGCCCTGGCATCGCCCAGGAGTGTGGACTCTGCTGCTGCCAGCGCTTGCCTATCAGACTGTTGTAGACATGTTTTAAAGGAGTGGCTTTCCTTGTGGTTTCATTGAGGGCTACCCCCAGAAGATCCTCTTGGATTCTAGTCATCCATGGCTAGAAGTGAGAAGATCTAAATGTTTGGAATGAGATCTTGGGCATCAAACTTGAACAGACATATTGCTGAAACCAAGTCACTGTAACACACACAAATTATAACACATAGCCACTTTTCCCTGAGTCTACAGCCCAAGAGTCTGTCATCACAAATAGCAGCCCTTGCCATACGCTGCCTCCTTGCTCTGCTCTGTTCCTGCCTGCCCTGCCTGCCCCCAGCACTTTTCATTACCTGACTTTTATTTTCAGTCTGTGATGCTGAAAATAAGCTTCATGAGAACAGGAGGTTCTTTTTTTTTTTTCTCCACTATGTACTGCCTAAGTTTGTTTTGTTCACTGTGTAACCCCGGCCCACAGTAGTAGTTCAGCAAATATTTACTGAGTAAATAAGTGAATGCATGAAAGAAAATGTCTGATGAGGATGGGGAAGAAATTAACCACAGTTGATAAATTATGTAGCAAAAAGGACCTTAGCTCCTCCTAGCACTTAAGAGTCACACAGTACAAGCTGTCAACCTGAGACACAGGTGACAGCCTCCCTGGCTCTTCCCTGCATGTCTTGTGCTTGTGTGTGGGGACCTGTGACGGGCCTCTGGATTCCTGGTGTGGTCTGTGAGCATCTGGTGAAGAAGCCCATCACTTGCACAAGCACCAGAATCCCTTCTGCTGTTGCTTGGCCTGTTTTCCAGGCTTCTGTTCACGGTTCTACCTGGGTTTCTTTAGCACACACTGTAGCTGTTGCCAGGGCAGGAACAAGGTCTGAATATTGCCCTCAGAGGAGTGCTGACTTTAGCAAATGCAAGCCAGTTAAAGCATTGGCACATGTCAATGTGGCAGAGGAAAGGGGTGGAGGTGGGGGAGAATTGAGTGCATCTTTGACCTTCAGAGAGAAAACTGACGTTTCAAACTTCTGAGACTATTGCCCAGGCCAGAAAATAGCTGAACAGTCAGAATGTCACTGTATCTCTTTAGGAAGAAATGCCATCCTTGTTCTGTAGCACTTGTGCAGTGCCCACCCCTGAGCAGCTGACTTGGTGCTGTAACTGGTTCTTCTGCTCTCCATACTGTGTTCTTCCCTCTCCCTGTTAACTTTGTCTTCCTTACCTTTGGAGATCCAAGACAAGTTGAACAAGACCAAGGATGATATTAGCAAGCACATGTCATTCCTGAAAGTGGACAAAGAGTACGTGAAAGCCCTGCCCTCTCAAGGTCTGAGCCCGGCCGCTGTTCTGGAGAAGCTCAAGGAATACAGCTCTATGGGTACGATTCTTGGCAAATGTGCGCTCCCTGCTCCCTGAACGTGGCTGGTCATCTGGTCATCGTTTGATTTTGCAGAGATTTAGAAGAGTTCATCCCTGGTGATTCTACATTCATGAGGGCCCACTCCTTGTCTCAAAGGCCAAATTTCATATTTTAAAAATGATACTACATTCATCTTTCACCCATAAAAGCAGACAAATCTCAGAGAGAGTGGAACTTAGTTCTATTTTCTAAGCCTGAATAAAACAGACACATTAGTTTTTTGGAAAGAGAAAATATGTAATAAAACTGAAATACAGATTCTTACAGAAACTGAAATCTGTATAGAGGCACAAAAGAAAATAAAAAGTCTAATTTCATCCTCAAAAGATAAACACAGATGAGATATATGTGTATAAGTGTATGTGTGTATGTATCTATCAGGATGTTGTTAGTGTTTCTGTGTGATAAGACACACACACGTATATGTGTGCGTGAGCACATACAGGAAGGATAAATCTACCAAGCAGCTTAGTGTTCAAGAGTGCAGCCCATGGGCTCAGCCTGGATTCACATCCTGGTTCAGCCATTTAAAGTGTGACCTTGGGTGGGTTACTTAACTTCTCTGTGCCTCTGTGTCTGTCTCTCTGCAATGAGGACAATTATAATAGTACTTACCTGAGAGGATAATTGTACACATTAAACGAGCTCATACCATGTAAATGTATAATGCCTGGCTTTATAGCATGTGCTCAGTAATTGTTATTAACACAAACACGTTTATTACAAATTAAGATTATATTACTGCAAATACCTTTTAAAAATAGGCATTTTAGTTTGGTACAATTTTAGATTTATAGAAAATCTTCAAAGATAATACAGAGATTTCCCACATACCTCTTACTCAGCTTCTCCTCATGTTAACATCTACAATAACCATGGTACATTTGTCAAAACTAAGAAAATAGCATTGGTACAGTGCTAGTAACTAAACTACAAATGCTACTCCTGTTTCACCAGTTTTTCTATAATGTCCTTTTTTCTGATCTAGTGTTTACTTCAGGACACCACATTACATTTTAAAATATCTAATTGACATGTGTTGAATTTTTACATTGGGTGGTCCAAAACTATATATAGTCCAGGATTGAAGGATGATCTAAAGCAAGGATTAGCATTCTAGGGCCTGTATGTTAAAGATTTCTGGGATTATGAGGGCTGCTTGCTATACCATATTTCCTTCCCTTCCATTTTTAAGTCACTGTCCATTGCCATACTCTGTAGCCCCCATAAAAGAACAGGAAATGAAACCATATATCCTGCTTTCGAAAGGCTGGTCTGAAGACATGCATGACACAGACCGGTGTCCTCTCAAGAAAGAAAGTCCAACTGGCCACAAGCCAGAGCTGGCAGGTCACGTGAGAACGAGGGATTTCTCTGGATGTTCGCTACTCAGTCTTCTGTTCTATTGGAGCTGAAGATCTTGGCTTTGTAGAGCCCATGGCAACAGTTTTAAGCTCAGTTTTCAGTTAGGTTGCTTCTGTAGTTCTCACTGCCTGCTTTCACTAGGGCACAGCCATGTTGTCATAAAAGCACCTGAGACGCCCACATTAACAGATTTGTTAGTACTATAGAGTGTCTCAGGAAGTAGAAAGTCAGACCTTATATTCCCGTCGGGAACTGTCCTCTGAGCTTTATCCCAGTATTGGCTGTGTTCCTGATGCTGAGCACTGCAGCATATGTTGCTGGAAGCAGGTGGCTAATTCTTTGTGGGGTTCCAGGCTCGTCTAAAGGAGGAGCCCCTGAGACCAGGATGCTGATGCTTCCTGTCTCACCATGGCTTGTCTAGTCAGGGATTCACTTCCCTGGCTTCAACTCCAGTGATAGTGTGCTGAGAATTTTGCATGTTTGTCTTACTCTTCTGCCAACTCTGCTCATAGCAGTTCCCATACTTCCTTTGACGGACTAGGAAGGGAGAGAAGAAGGAAGCCACTGCAGAAAAAAGTCACACTGAGCTATACGGAGAACAGAAAATGCGTGTAGATAAAATTGTTCTGCTCTTAGCAGTTGGAGATAAGTCCAGCATTATTACTGGACTATCTTTATTGTACCTAGATGCTGTTAATACCTTTTTCATACAGCTGCTGATAGTGATTGTTGATCTTTCACCTTTATTTTGCTGTGATAGCGCTTCATTGGAATTCTTTTTCTTGATTTAATATAAGAATGCCTTTGGGTTTCCACTCCAATTTTTTTTTCCCCTACTCTGAGGAGTTTATTCCTCTTTCTTCTTTATTAGAACTTGTCTTCCCAAAGATTCCTGCTTAATGATCCAGTCACCTTCCCTTTCTCTGCAGATGTCTTTTGGCAAGAAGGGAAAGCCTCCGGAGCAGTGTACAGTGGGGAGAAGGAGCTCACCGAACTCCTTGTGAAGGTGAACGAGTGCCCAGTACTTACAGGGAGCATGTGGCTCTGCCAATTGATACTCTTGAATATTTTTCTCCTTACCTTTGTAATTAAAAGAAAAATTACTTAAGGAAAGTTTATTGTTAAAACAAAAGAAGTTTAGAAAGTGTCTCTTTACCCCAACATAGGTGAATATGCATAATATTGTCAAAGATATCTTCAGTCTGTAGAAAAGTGAAGTGCTGCTCGTGTTTCCAGGCTTTAGAGACGCCCTGTGTGGAAGGCAGATTACTAGGGAAGGTGGTCCATCATTTGAGATTGTTAACGACAAGATACATTTTGTTGGATAAGAAAAGACAAGGGATGGAAACTTGGTCATAATTTCCTGTGCTACCTGAGTCTCAAATCATATGACCTGAGAATGAGCAGTGGTCTCAGTTGTAATTCAGATAATTCTCACTTTTTGTTGACTTCAGAATTGCCTTTAGCTTCTTCTATTTCTGATGAGATTTATTTTTTTAACCCCACTTTGTCTATAAAATTAGTGTTGGACTGATGGTCTCTAGGATCTTTGTGTTTGATTATTAAAACTCTGAAACTGCTCATACCTTACTAAACATTACAGATTTTGCTTAGCTGTATCTTGACATAATACCCTCTCCTTACTTCTATGCTTTAGAATCTTTCAGTGGCTTCCCATTATCTACAGGACAGAACCCAAGCTGCTTATGCAGCAGAAAATACAAGCCTCTTTGTGAGCCAGCTCCCACCTATTTTTTCAACTATTACTGGTATTTTCCCTTATAAACACTGCCTCCTGCCTTTTCTCTTTACTGAGTACACTTGCTTTTACGTTGTTTTCCTTTCCCTCCTTCATTCTTCCTGTTCTAAGTGACGTCTCAAGGTTCCACTCAGCAGACACCTCCAGACCACTCGGGGTGGCTCGTCGTTCCCTCTTCAAGGCCCCTTACGTTGCGCACCTACATACGTCTGCTGTCACACTTGCAGCAGTAGCTGCTTCGTGCAGGCACTCTCCTGAGTGCTTCGCATGTGTTATGTTGTTTGCTTATGGCCAGACCCCCATCAGGTAGGCACTATAATTATCCCCTTTAGCATATGAGGAAACTGAGCCTCAGAGAGGTTACTTGGCCTAAGATAACACAGTTAGAAGTGACAGGTAAAGCTAAGATTTCAAACTGGGTCTGTTTGGTGTTTTAGTCTGTGCTTAACCGCATTTATACTTCGTCTCTTACCACAGGGTAAATAAATATTTGTGCATGTCTGTCTCTTCCACTGTATTTTGATCTTTATTTAGGTTGGGGAACATACTGTACCATTTCCCCAGTTTCTAGTGTTGTGTTTAATACTTAGAAACTTTTGTTTGGTGCATGATAATTTTTCCCATACAGTGTAACAGTCTTACTGCACATCTACTTGCATTTCTTTGCAGGCTTATGGAGATTTTGCCTGGAGTAATCCACTGCATCCGGATATCTTCCCAGGACTACGTAAAATAGAGGCAGAGATTGTGAGGATAGCATGTTCCCTCTTCAATGGGGGACCAGACTCCTGTGGATGTGTACGTACATGCCAGTGGCATCCTATAATCTGATTTTTTTTAGCTTAAAATAGAGTTTATTAAAAGCATTACACAAATAATACATGATTGTTGTAGGAAGATCCAGATTAATAGCAAGTTTAAAAGATTACTTATAATTTTGTAGTCCATAGAGTATCAGCATTTTGGTATATATCTTCTGGATATTTTTTCTCTTCAGTTCTTTATTTTTGAGAAGCTAAACTTACACTGAGTTGTTAGAATAGTTTAAAGAACATCCTAGATTCACATCTGCTCCCTCCACTCCCCTTTCTCTTCCTCCATCTTTCATCCTCCCACCTACGGATCCAGTTACCTGTATAATTTTGTCACACCATCTCGTAGTTTTTGGATATACTTCTTGTTTTACTTGAGCTAAGTTTTTGTTTTTGTTTTGCTATAAATGGAATCTCAGTTGTTTTAGGAATACAGGAACAGGGTGTCATTGTATTTAAAGATACACATGAGGATTCCTTCTTTCAGCTTTTCTTTCTAGTAGATGTTAATTTTCCTAAACTGTGATCGATAAACTGTTTAGATTTGTTACTACAAACTGATACTGCCTTCTCTAGAAAAAATAAATTTCAGCTTATGCACGAGAGTTAGATTTAACCCAGGGTGCTGTAATGGTAACCTAGAGGTGCTAATCCTATCAAGTACTTTTAAAATCATTATAAAGTCTGCAAATTTAATTTTTGAAGGGCCCATCCAAAGACAAGAACATTTGATAGTTACCTTTTTGTTCTCAATAAGCCATGTTTTTACTTTTACGTTGGCACAGTGAAAAATCAACATGTTCAGATACTCAGTAGCTAACAAAACTGGTGTTACTGGCATTCATTTTCCAAAAAAGAATTCCAAAAGTGTTACAGACTGAACCAACCATAATCTAGCAGTGGGTTCTTTTTTGGCATTTAGATGAACGGGGTGGCATAGAAGGGAGATGACAGTATACTTACAGGACATAGGCATTCTCCTGTGCCATTAGACTCTACGAACTTTTAAGAGACCACAGGTTAAACAATCACAAAAACAGTTTGGCCTTATCCAGTAGAGTTGAAGATAGCCGTAACTTATGACCCTGAAATCCCACTACTTAGGCTATATCCTAGAAAAACGATGTGTTATCAGGACAGATGTATATCCATAGCCGCATTGTTCATGACAGCTGAAAGCAGGAAGTAATTCAGATGCCTGTCAGCAGCAGGGCGGTAGGTTGTAGAACACTATGTGTGCCTCAGGCTGTTGTAGCTGTCACTCAGATTGCTGCTCAAATCACCCTGTTTTTGGTCAGTGAGAACTTCTTAATTTTGGCTCCTGGGTCGTTTTGCATGACTCAGTTGGTCTTCGAAAGCTTCCTTTCTTTCCTCCTTTTTTATTTTTTGATGGAATATTTTCATTTGATGAAATATTCTAGGTTCACCTTGTACATTTCCTGCTCCAGATCCAGAATCAGCCATTTGTGCAAGAAACCCTAGTTCATTTATAACCAAGTGAAGTATTTGCATGGTTTCTAAGTCAGATTTATGGAACAAGACAGTGTAAAAAATTAACTGGAATAAAACCCAGAGAGGCAAACAGACAGTTAAGAGACATGAAGGATAGAGTGAGAAGGGCTAACACATCTCTAAGTGGTATTTAAAAGCAGCCAGAAAAAACAGAAAGCCTGTAAAGTTGTAACTATTAGAAAGCTGATAGTCTCAAAAGCGACTATGCCTGGGCCAGTTGCGGGCAGAAGAAAGATGGGCTGTGAGTTGATACTTGCTGAAGCTGGGTTACAAGTACAGGGGTTTTATGACTTCCTTCTTTTGGTGTGTGTAATTACTCCTTACTACTTCCATGGGTTTCAAAATTTCATTTACTGTATTTTTCATTCTTGGGAATTCTGTTTGGTTCTTTTTTTTTTTAAATCTGCTTGGTTGTTCTTTGTAATCCCTTTCCTTGGCTTATGTTTTGTTTATTTAAATATATTGCATGTAATTATTTTCTCTTCTGTATCTGATAATTCCATCATTCCTGAGCCTTACCTGTGTGTTTCTGCTGGTTTCACTTATGTTGTCTTGTATTCTTACATTTGTGATTTTTTTTTTAAACTCTGAGTTACTGATTTTCCCAGAAACTTAACTTTGAGGCCTAGATTGAAGTTAAGTTCTTCCAGACAAGATTTGTATCTACTGCCAGTTACTGGGGAGTTGCTGGGAAATGCCACCACATTGGAATCTATTTAAGTCCAGTTCTTAGGCACAGCTTTATACTACAGAAGTAGTCTGAACTCAGATCGCAGACTCAAGTAAAAGCTGTCTTGTCATATATTCTTCAGAGATCCTTATTTTTCTTTACCTGAGCATCTGGGTTGAGGAAAGTAGCTTTTCTTGCTTTCCTCTTCTGCACCAGTGTATGTATTACCCCTGAGTGTGGGTGACGTCCCAGTGTTTTCAGCATCTCCTCTTAGCCTCCTTACTTTGGGCAGGCCCCACATTTGGCTGTTTATCTGTCAGGGTGGGAATATGAGGTCTCTAGGGGTTGGCAGCAACTCTCACAGTTAACACCAGCTCTTGTACTCACTTACCTTGTAGGATTCTTGATTTTGCTTTGTTTGGGGGTTCAGTGTGTTCCTTTATGTTAGCTCAGTGGTGGATGTAAACATTTTCTTAAATCTTTTACCAGGCTTTTTAGTTGTTTCAGGTTGGAGGATTGCCCAAGGTATATAATATATATTGCTGGAAAGAGAAGTTCCATGATTGTTTTTTTCCCGTGTGGGAGACCTTTGCATACTTGAAAGCCTCATTCCCCCTGAATCTTCTCTTCCCCACATTTTCCCTAGGGTATTCAGCTGTCCGTAGAGAATGTGATTTCACAGATCTCCAACCATGCCTGTCATTCTTCTCTGAACACGTTTTGGTTATCTGTGACTAGCCAGATGGACACGGTTCCCCATACGTAGAATGGCACTGAGCTTTCAGTCTCTTGTCTTTTTTATCTGGGTTCACTAAACTTACCTTAAACCTTTCCTCTAAGTTAATATTTTTATTCTCAGCCATGTTTAGTCTGTTCCTTGCTGTTCCTAGTTTTTTTAAATTAATTCTGTATCATGCTGTTTGGTACTTTGGTTTTTTAGGTCTTTGGTCTGATTCTTTTGTTTCAGGGTCCAGTCTTTCAGCTTTTGTTTTCTTGAATTCATGTTCTTATGATACTGTTCTGTAGCGAGAAACAGGAGGAATTTCCTTCTGCTCCTTAGGTTGTGACCTTCTGAGTTGGGCTTTTATTTTGCAGGGTACCTTTTTTTCCTTTTTACATATTTGATAGTTACCATGCCGTTTTCTTTCATCTTGGCTCATGCTTGGGTGCGTGTCTGTAGACATTGTTTGTTCTGATGCATGGTGGGTGACCTCTTGTCTGGCAGTATTTAGTTGAGGGGAGGGCTCAGCTAAAACCTTGTTCCACCTATATTAGAATTATCTAGATCTCTTCTGAGATTTTGTTAAAAGTTACCTCTCAGTGTTCACGCTGCCTAGTTGGAAGACAATAATACTCTTTGGACTTGGATGGTTTCTTTAGCTCATCCTGTATGCCCGGAGTCCTCACTTTAGTGAGTCAGTCCTGGTGTTCTCTCTCCCCAGTCTGCATATTTCTCGCTGGCCACCATGATCTGAAGATAAGGAAGCCCCTCCACTTGCTTCTGAAGGTTTGTGGGGTATTCATGAGAATTCCCAGGATTTTGCTGCTTCCCCTGGACAGTTTCCAAGGCTCAGAGGAGGGATTAGGAACTGTGTTTTACTCTCTGCTGTGCTTTAGAAACTTGTTTCTTTTTTTTTCATTGCCGACATTTGAAGTTTACTGTGTTAGATTCTCTCTTTCCTTGTTTGGTTGTTCTTATTGCAGGGTTTTACTGCTTTTTTCTTCATTCTTGCATGTATTGGAGGAGAGGAATTCGGTGAAATAGCTTCAGTCTTCCATCTTAATCCAGAAGTCCAACTCTGTGGGGTTTTCTTGCGTTGCTGCAGTTAAGCCAGGCCTCTCCCATTAGGATCTGTTTTAGTGCCGTGTCAGGGATCAGGAGGAGGATGGATGGAGTCTGATATCCCCAGTCTCTTCTGATGCCTAGACTTTTATAAGAGGACTGATTTCCTGTGGGATTATGTGAGTTTCTCACTTCAGTCCCTGTATGTCTTTAGATCTCTGTCTCTCTTGTTAAGCCACTGGGGTGAGGAAAGTTCAGAGGTGGGGAACAAGAGCCAAATGGCTGAGCAGTCTTAAGCCTCTTCTCATTCTTTGTTCTTTAATCTTAAGCTTTTATTTTTTATTAACTTACTTGCCTTGGTTAGGATGGATGAGTGGTGACTATATACTTAAAGAAATTAGGTTGCCATGGGAAACAGTCTTGGCTTGTGCAAATGCCACTGATTCCAAATAATATCTAAAAGAATAATTTTCATAGGTCCTGCTCTGCTCCTGTTCTCTGACATACATATCATATAGAGCGAGGCTTTTTCTTTTAAATGTTGAAGGATGTCGACTCATGTAATTATCGAGGCCTCTGTCTTCTTACTTCAGAGTTGGATTTCCGTTTTTCCTTGGGTGTGGAGGGTAGAGGGAAATGGGAGAGTAGCAACGTATTTAAACACAGAATTTGGGGATCAGAAATAAAAAGTAGAAGCAGAACTTGAGTGTTCCTGCTTTTACGGTCAGAAGGACACTGGTGTTTGCCTAACAGATAACAACGTTGATTTGATCAGTTACTGAACTGAGAATAGGACTTGCGGAGTGGGTGACGAGGGGGTCTGGAAATATGTCTGCTATGTCGTTGCTGGACGTTAGTGAGAGATCAGCACCCTGGGGACGTGGTCCTTTCCTGACTTTCTTCACAGCTGGCTTAGCTCCTCATGTGACATTCTGAGGTTTTAGACCACAGAACGCACTACGACTGGCAGAACTGACCTCAACTGTAGGCACAGAAATGCAGGGACCTACAAACAAGTGTCCTGTGCCAGAGTTCAGGGCCTTACCGTGGGGATGACGGTCACATGTTTCAGGAAGGCTTCCTCAATCACAAAATGACTAACTTTCCTCAGCTAATCTTCTATATAACTCCTGACCACTGGGGTTTTGTATCCAATGGTATTTTTGTCCTATATGTGGATATAATTTTAGAAAATTTCAGTCATTACCCACTGTCGTCTCATATTAAGCTGTACTAAACGTGAAAACGTAGAAAGTTTTACTTTTTATCAAAACACGTTGATGGATGACATTGAGGGGAATCACTTAGTCTCTCAGGGGCTCAGTTTTCTCACCTGTAAAATGGAAAAGCTGTCCAAGATTATATGAATCTTTGGAGACGATAAACCTAAGAAAATGTCCACCTAGCTCAGTGCTATGGCTTTTTTTTCCCTGTTTGTTTTGGAATGATTTCATTCTTACGTGTTATCAAAGGATAGCCAGATGGGTATGACATGCCTGTGTTGGTCAGGTTTGCTGAGAGTCAGATCGGGTGTTAGGAAATGTTGATTGAGGGTCTGTCAGGCGTGAGCTCCTGGGCTAGGTGCCAGGAATACTATTATGAACAGAGTGGTCTCCACCTTCATGAGTCTGTAGTTTAGTGAGGAAAACAGGATGAATGAAATGACCTCTTGAGTATTTTTGTATCAACTCTGGTAAAGAAATTCTCCTGTATCAGAGGGGCTAGGCCTAGCTTCAGGAAAACATTTTCTTTCATTTAATAACATTAGGATTTTTGTTTTAATTTCCATAAAGTTAGTAAAATTCCTAGAGGCTTCTGCTTTTCTCTTGTCTTTCAAACATGACAAAACTGCAAGTTTACTTCCGAACGTCCTAATGTCTCTTCTTGGTCTTCTAATGTATTGCATAGTTGACTAGAGTTGTAACTTCACCATTTCACATTCTTCAGTGGGCACAGAAGTTTAAATCAAAGTCAGTAATCCTGAGGCTTTTGAATGGGGTAAAATGCCCTATCCTATCTGCAACTGGACGAATAACAGAAATGTAAGTGGATTGTGCACAGGTGGGGTCTGGGCAGATGGGCATTTGTCCATACCGTGTGGAGCTTCTAATCGTTCTTATTTAGTAGTTTTCACTCTTCTTCTGAACCAAGATTGGGCTTAGCCAATAAGGTCAAATTTTCCTTCTGGAAGATAGCAGTGTCGGGTCTACAGCATGCATCCAGTAGCTCGTGTTTCTGCATTAGACACCATCAAGATCGAGGCAGGAAATGCATGCTGATGGCTATCCCTAACTCCTTACACAGATGGCATCTCTTTTTTATTACAGGTGACCTCTGGGGGGACAGAGAGCATACTGATGGCCTGCAAAGCTTATCGGGAACTGGCCTTCGAGAATGGGATCAAAACTCCAGAAATGTATGTACTGCTGTCCTGGTACATTTGTACAGAATTGTTTCCAGGAACCCCATGGATACCAAAATCCTTGGTGCTCAGGTCCCTTATATAAAGTGGCGTAGTATTTGCATATAACCTATACACATCCTCCGGATAGTTTAAATCGTCTCTAGATTATTTATAATATCTAACACAATGTCAATGCTATGTAAACAGTTGCCAGTGTGCAGCAAATTCAAGTTTTGCTTTGTGGAACTTCTTTTCCCCTTGAATATTTTCCATCCTTGGTTGGTTGAACTCATAGATATGGAGGGCTGACTGTATGTGTGGCTGTTTTTTTCCCTTTCAGGTTTGTCTGTGGTACTGCTCTATGAAACAGCCTGGCAATCTGTTTTCTGCTTCTTCGCTTCCTCTGGCAATTCCAGTCCTTTTTCTTCCTGTCCTTTGACCATTATCCTTCACATTCAGCAAAATCCTAAGTGGGTCTGCTAGTTAGTATTAAAGGCCATTCCTTTCCCCAGCCCCACATCTGTGCATGGTGTATGCTGTAAGCAAGAACAAGATCCTTTTTCTAAAAGTGGCAGAGTTATAGGACTACATCTTTGAATTCTGTGATATTTACTCTAAGTTTATCTGGAGCCTAAGAAAAGCTCTCTACTTACCTTAGCTCAGTGAAAGTTACTTACATATAGTGGACTGTTTCAGGAGACTCCCTAAGATAATTTCAGCCTGAAGGCTGTTTTCTGGGAGGACAAATTTAAAAAATCCTTTGAGATTGACCCATATTGCCACCCCATGGACATTATTTTGATACCTGGTTGCATTTTTTTCTCTAGACCTGCTCCTTGTACAGCGTGTTTATACCACATCTTTTGGGTTAATGTTTCTCCCACAAGAGTCAGGGACTAAGGGTTTTGTTGCACATGATCTCACGCAATGAGTCATACCTAGCTTAAGAAAATAAGTCAGGCTGCCATCTTTCTTCATGGATTAATTTTTGGTGCTTGATGCTTACTCAGTGATAAAGATTTTTCTCAAAGGGAAGAGAGTAATTGTAAGAGTGGAGTAATTGAGGGGGGCCTGAATGCAAATGACTTCTTTATCTGTACTATTTGAAATGCTGCTTCCAAGTGTGTAGGAAAAATGGAGGTTTTGGTTTTTCACAGGATCATGGTCTTTCGGAGGTGGAGGGGACCATTGATTGGTCTGATGCTTGACTGCTGCTGTAACATCCCTGCCAAGCAGTCTTACATCTTCTGCTTCAACGTGTGTCATGTCAGGAAGCTTGCTCCCCTCTGAGATAATCCATCTTTGGATAGGCGGCCATTAAGTAGTCTCGATTTAATGTTGATCTGATCTAAATTCTCTGTCCTTCATCTTTTACCCAGCAGCCCTAATTTATGCTTAGGATCCCTCCATGTGGCACTGCTTCCGAGTTCTTCCTGCTGCCAGTGATTTCCTAAATTATAGGGAGAAGCTCTAGAAAACCTCTTGACTTCTTTTTGTTTGTGCTTAAAAAGAAACTAAAACAAACACTTAAAAATTTGAAGGAAAATAGAAGTTTACTCCTGGTGATTCAGGTTAGCCGCTAGCCATGTTGTCTCTTGGACCCTGCTTGATCTGAATTTCATCATTTTCTTCCTCCCTGTCATGTAGCATAGCCCCCCAGAGTGCCCATGCTGCATTTGACAAAGCTGCCAATTATTTTGGGATGAAGATTATACGAGTTCCACTGAACAAAATGATGGAAGTGGATATTCGGGTGAGTTCCTCTGAAGGGCTGCTGCCTGTCTTGGGCTGCGAGAAGCAGGAAGTGCACCCGATGACTCGCATTTTCCAGCGTCACATGCAGATAGGCTCGAAATGCCTTTGATAGTAGCAGCCAGAGTTGCAAAACCTGCCGCTGGCAGTGGTGAGTCATTGCCGCTTCAGTCTTTCCATAGATGCATGAGCTCCAGTAGGAAGACGAGACTAAGTGGAGACTTTAAAGACCTGGGTTTTGCTTCAGCACCATCCCTTTCTCTTCCCTTTATAAGATGAGCATGGACTAAATTGCCCCAAGACTCACACTGTAGTTTTTGATTGTCCTGAGTTAGTACCATTGCCATTATAATAGTGTTTTTTTTCAGAAGTAAACTATCCAGTTAATTAGCACTGGCATTACTCACCCCCAGCCTTTACTAACGTTTTAACTGACTAATTAATTGACAAGTAAAAACTTGTGTATATTTAAGGTATACAGCTTGATGTTTTGATATATGTATACACGGTGACATAATCACCACAATCAAGCTATTCAACATATCCATCACCTCACAGTTACCATTTTCTTTCTTTTTTCATGGTTAGAATACTTAAGACTACCCTCTAGATGTCTAAGCAGATTTCAGGTATATAATGCCACACTGTTCAGTATAGTCACACGGCTGCATTAGTGCTCCGGAATGTACTCGTCTTGTCTTGCTGAAACTTGGTACCCCTTGACCAGCATCTCACATTTCCCTCATCCTCCGGCTCCTGGCATCCAGTCTACTCTTTGCTTCTATGAGTTTGACTGTTTCAGATTCCACATGTGAGTGAGATCATGTGGTGTTTGTCCCTCTGTGTCTGTTTTATTTAACTTAGCATACTGTCCTCCAAGTGCACATACATTGTCACAGATGGCAGGATTTCTTTCTTTTTTTAAGCCTGAATAATATTCCTTTGGTAATTATTTTTATGCCTTGCATTTATGTAGAAGAAGTTTCCAGTTTTTAGAGTGCTGTCAGAATCACATTTGAGCCTTATGACAGCCCAGGGAGGTCGTAGAAGCTCATAGTGTTATTGTAATGAGGAGACACCTTGGTTGAAGTTATGTAGTTTACTCAAGGTTTCACTGCTGATACGTGGAGCCGGGACTCATATTTGGCTCTTTTGCCTCTTAATCCAATATTGTTTTTTACCCTCACGGTGATTTTGCTGTTTTTGTATTGTTCGCTCAGACTATTTTCCCCCAGTGTTTGTTTTTGGCCACTGTGGTGGGGAGGCAGTCTTCCAGGCTGGAGGAGTGAGGCAGGGGCATTAGTGGAACTGAAGCTCTAAGCTGGTAGCCTCATTTGCTCTTGGCAGCAGAAGAGAAGAGTAATTGTGATGCGGCTTCTCATTTTCCTTTCAACTTTAACCCCATAGGCAATGAGAAGAGCCATCTCCAGGAACACTGCCATGCTCGTCTGTTCCACCCCGCAGTTTCCTCATGGCGTGATAGATCCTGTCCCTGAAGTGGCCAAGGTATGTGGGAGAGATGGAGTCAAACTGAGTTCTAAAGTAGAATCTAATTGTGCAGTACCCGGCAAACAGAAGTGATTTTTGAGTTGAAATTTCAGCCCAGTGGTGATGAGTATCTCTCATCAGCCCTGTGGTAAGCTGCACAGCTCTGCTTGAGCGTCTGACAGTGACCACCTTCTGCCATGGGGGAGGGCTATCACAAGGAAGAAGCCTTTGTTTAAACTGGACATTCTGAAAGAGTACTGACATTTCAATTCAGATCAGGAAGTAATCTGCACTTAAGAGCATGCCTGCCTCTGAGAGGGTGGTGGTCACTATGCTGCCACACAGCACCCCTCCCTCCTGCCCTGCAGTTACTAGCGTGGGACCCTTCTCCCTCCGCTGCCTAAATCAGAGTGATGCTCATTTCTTGCTTGATTTTGCAGTGAGTTTGAGGTTCTGCATATTTAAATATAAAACAGAAACCAAATTTCAGATGAATTATTTCGAAGGCTAAATATATTTGAAAAATGAGCTTTATTAAGATGGTCAAAAATAGCCAGGTTTTTAAAACATGGAAGACGGTACATAATGCCCTGTGGGTATAACCCCACCTTTCCATCCATGTCTTACGGAGTTTCTGTTATAGGGCTGTAACTGATATTCTCTTATGGTCTTTGGTTTTTGGAACTAGCTGGCTGTCAAGTACAAAATACCTCTTCATGTGGACGCTTGTCTGGGGGGCTTCCTCATCGTCTTTATGGAGAAAGCCGGATACCCACTGGCGCAGCCATTTGATTTCCGGGTGAAAGGTGTGACCAGCATTTCAGCGGACACTCATAAGGTGAGTGAGGGAAGAGACCGCATGTTAATCAAAGTAGACAGTTGGTTATTTTGACTATTATCAACGAAGTAAGTTGGTTAAAGCATTAGCTTTCCTTGTAAGTATAAAATTAAATCTGGCTCTGTACTCTCACCAGGGCAGCTGATTCATATGACAAGGTACAGTGACAGGTGACAAGCAGTAGTGAAAAGGAACCTGTTATCTTTGTGTCGTATTGGCTAAGAGAATTTCTGTATCCAGTGACTGTATGCAACTAGGACATGCTAATGTAGTGGCCCTTATTCAAAGGTTCCCTGAAGCCTTGAGATCCTTGGGGTAGGGGGTGAAGGTGAGGTTGGTACCAGAATTCCTAATTAATGCAGCTCCTATGCTCCTGGGGCTCCTGAATCTGAGTGACCAGAGTATATGGATGGAAGAGTCCTTTGGGAAAGGGATGAACTTACATGCTCAGGAATGTTGAGCTTGTAATGTTTGGAATGTCCATCCCTGCCATCCCTGGGGGACTGAGGCAAAGTTTACATCTCGACAGACCCTATGCCAGTTTTCTTACCCTCCGTCCTTGTGTGGTTCAGGGAGTGAAATTAGTTCCAAGGTAACTTGAGCGAGAGTTCATTAGGAAGGCACATTAGTCAAGTACATAGTTTATTTTAAAGCTGGATTAAGTAGCTTCTAGATTTTGAGCACCATGGTGTTCTTAGAAAGGAAGTGTAATACTAAGCAAAAAAGATGGAAAGGGAGTCAGACCGTGACTGTAGTTGCTCCAGGTGACCTGAATTCTATTCTTTCCTGGCTTCCAGTGGAAAGTTATCTTTACCCCAGGGTGGTGTGTCATGACGGAGGCAGTGTTTTAAATAAGGAAAAGCACAGGCGGGATGAGAGACAGGAAGTAAACTTAGTAATTGAACAAGACATTTTTTTCTCCTGTGCCTCAGATTCCTCATCCCTAAAATAGAGAATTTAAGTCCCACCCCTTAAGTTTCCTCTGCCCTTTAATAAATTATAAGTTGGAAATCTTAACACAGAGAACCTGACACAGAAAGGGGAAACCTGCATGACGAGACAGATTCTGGGGCAGGGGCGCCACACGGAACTGCACACTCACTCACCTGTCTGCTTCTTCCCCCTGCAGTATGGCTTCGCCCCCAAAGGCTCTTCAGTGGTGTTATACAGTGACAAGAAGTACAGGAGCTATCAGTTCTTCGTTGCCACGGATTGGCAGGGCGGCATCTATGCTTCCCCCACCATTGCGGGCTCACGGCCTGGCGGCATTAGTGCAGGCTGTTGGGCCGCCTTGATGCACTTTGGTGAGAGTGGCTATGTTGAAGCTACCAGACAGATCATCAAAACCACTCGCTTCCTCAAGTCAGAGTATGTGTAGAAGACTGGGAGTCTGCCTTGTCTCTTGCTTTGTCTGCTAATAGGCTCGAGGCATCTGTCTGGCCAAGCACCACAGTCCCAGCCCATCTGCAGTCCCCCAAGAGGCTGAAGGTTTAGGATGCAGCTTAGGAGTGGGGTGCTGGCCTGGGAGGATAAGCTCCTGCCCTGGGCTGTGACCTGGAGGGTCAGATCTGGGCTTCATCTGTAGGTCATCTTGTTAAGAGTGTCTTAACAACTTGCAGCTCTTACCAAGTGCTGATGTACAGCTTACTGGTTAAGACAGTGGTTCTTAAACTTGAGATTGACTCCTAATCACCTGGAGTGTTTGTTAAAATGCAGATTGCTGGGCCCCACTCCTAGAACTGTGATTCAGTAGGTCTAGAACGTGAGTCCAGGGATTTGCATTTCTGGGAAGTCCCCAGTGGATACTGATGCTGCTGGTCTAAGAATTACAGCTGGAGAATCACTGGGATAAGAAGACTCGGAGAGGGGGCAAATGGAATGGGGACGGATGGGGTGTGAAATCTGGGGTTAAGGCTAGAACCAGGCTGCATGCTTTGCCTAACGTGTTCATGGGTTACCTGCCTGTCTGTGTGTCACCGGGATTGGGGCAGGAGAGCTTTCCTGTATCTTGAAGGTGAATGAAAGCAGCCCATATGCATGGCTCATTTTTCGGCCTGCATATGGTCCTGATACACGCATCTGGTGCAAACTGCTGTACCGTCTCTTGCCTTAGAAGGTACGTGGATGACTTTTGAAAGAGAGATGGAGAGATTATTTTTCCAGGATTTTTTTAAAAAGTACATTGTTTATCCCTCAGATACCCCTAGGGGCAGATCATAATTTGGGAATTGGGCAGACAGGAGCCAGTGGTCCTGATTCATTGGATCTAGTGGGATTTGGGCCTTTAAATATTTGTCATATTAAAGGACCACTGATCTCAGTCTAGCCATCTTATTTTAGAAGATGAGAAAACTAAAGCCCCAAAAGGTTAGATTGTAAGGGAGATACGGGATCATGGGCAGAGGACTGTATGTACCTGAATTTCCTTTTTGTTCCTCTTGTTTAAGACTGGAAAACATCAAAGGCGTCTTTGTTTTTGGGAATCCTCAACTGTCCGTCATTGCTCTGGGCTCCCGTGATTTTGACATCTACCGACTATTTAACCTGATGACTGCGAAGGGGTGGAACTTGAACCAGTTGCAGTTCCCACCCAGGTGAGTGTGAAGAAGCCTCTCTCCATTCCTTTGCTACATGACTTTTGAAGAACTTGAGTAGCAAGGTGACCTGCAGTACAGACACTGACTGCTGGAGTCCAGCACTTTGTTGGCAACTGTAGGATCTGTAGGATGTCCGTCTTGCCACCTGGAGTTATTCGGTATTAGGAACAAGAGCTGTTAGTTTTAAACTCTGGCAAAATCAGGTGGCAGCCTCTTGAGACCAGCGGTCAGTCACAAGATCCCCCCCTACTCCCCCAGACTCCCTCGCTTTCTAGGCTCCGTACTCCTGCATCCTCAGGTGCTCTTATTACCTGAGTTATACTGAGCTCAGAACCTTCCAGCAGGCCTCTCATCTTTCAGGCCTGCTACTGTTATCTTTAATATGTGTTTCTAACCTAAAATCTTCCATGAGCCTTTAAATAAGCACTCCACCCCAGAAGAATAGGTGTCTTCAGCGTCCTCAATGCACCCCTGATCCTTTCACACGTTGCCATTGTCAGCCCCATCTGGACTCTCTCCTCTTCACAATCCCTCTGTGCCCCGTTCTCCCTCCAGGGGGAGCTAGAGTTCCTTCTTTGCCCTGAAGTCCTTCAAGACCCCAGCCCTGTGGCTGTATCCCCAATGTTTATCATCTAAGATAAACGCATCCCAAATTCGTTGTCACATGATTGAAGGCAGAGCACCCGACGGTTCCTGAGGGGAGGGGTGGACAGCACAGGGGTGGTTCTTGATCACACTGAGAGCAGGAAGCCCACATTTGATAGCCATGTATGTGACAGCCCTGATGCCCAGGACTGGGAACAATGTGGATGACCTCCGCTTGTCTCAGATAACAGAAAGAAGCAACCAGCAAATTTTAAAACTTTTTTCTAAGAGTCACCTCTCTTTCCCTTCTCCTGTAGCATTCACTTCTGCGTCACGTTGGTACACACCCGGAAGCGAGTAGCCATACAGTTCCTAAAGGACATCCGGGAATCCATCACTCAAATCATGAAGAATCCTAAAGCAAAGACCACAGGAATGGTAGGGACACTGGGGTTTTCCTTCCTGTGGACGTTTAGGTGGTGGGTTTGAAAGAATCAGATGACCTCCAGTCTGTTCCTCCCTCTGTCCTTTAACCACAAATCTCTTTCCTTATTAATTAATGGGTATTCCCAGGGCTTTTAAGTCTCAGATGAGATATGCGAGATACAATAAGCACCTTATAAACTTGGAATTGCTATAGGAAGGCAGGTGGTGGTGGCGTCCATTGGAAAAGAGAATTTTGAGACAGGAAAGGCAATAAGCCTGTTTCTGCTGGACTTTTCTACACCAGACCCCACAGGATAGTTCTTTGGGCAGAAAGGCAGACTGGCAAGTGCCTGTGAAAAATGTCCTCCACCAGCTGTATTTCTGCTGGGATGGCGCCTGGGGTGGGAGTGGTGTGGGAGAGAGGAGGGCACTGGAAGGCAAGCACGCCACAACTCCATCTTTGCTGTGAGCCCCTCCTCACTAACAACTGTTCTGACTGGATTTGTAGGGCGCGATCTACGGCATGGCCCAGGCTACCGTTGACAGGAACCTCGTGGCAGAATTGTCCTCTGTCTTCTTGGACAGCCTTTTCAGCACAGACACTGTAACTCAGGGTAACCAGATGAATGGTTCTCCAAAACCCCGCTGAGCTGGGACCCTCTGTAGCCCCGAGGGGCATCTGGCCTTTAGAAGGTTCTCGGGGTGGGGAACAGGCCACGCGGTTTCATCTGGTCTTGCTCCACACAGCACAACGGAACAGACCACGGACAGCTTGATCCTCAGGATAATTTGCATCCTTCTGTGGTTCTATAATGTGAAGACCAGAGGATTCCCTTATACAACTGTTTTGCCCTTACTCTAAATGTTACCCTGGGAATTGTTTTAACCATTTCTTTCTCTAACGTGTCTTGCTCTCAACTTCACTTAATCACTGTGTGGCAGCTCTGACCTGTCCTGACTCCTTGGGAGGCTGGTTAAGTTTTGAGACAGGAAAAGGTTTGCTTTGCTACCTCAGGCAGGTTGGCTCGGCAGATGGGAAGCGCTCCATAACCGACGTTTCCCTGGGTGGAGGTGACGTCTGCTCTCAGCAGGAGGCTCCTCCAGCCCCTCCTGGAGCGGTCAGTTGTCTCGCAGCCCCTCCTAGTGCAGCTCCTGTTACCCTCCCAGGACCCAGAGTGCCCAGGGCGTTGTTCCTGTTCCGCAGGGTCGGCATGGTCAAGCGGATCTGCTTGGTCCACCGGTCCTCTTCTGTGCTTGCAGTCCCCATTTCATACTCTGTTGCCACCATCTTTGAAGATTCTTGTTTGAAATTATGCCACTGGTTTGTCCCTGCTTCCATGGGCTGGGTTCAAGAGAACTCCATGTCCAGAGACTAGGACATTCTGGCCCCGGTGCTTGCCTCTCTGACTTGCCAGTGTTCAGAGCACACCTGAACCTTCTCCTGGGCTGGTGATGGTCAGAACCAGACCCTTTTCTATACTTTTCTGCGTATGAGAGTAAGATGAGCACCCTAATTCAAATGTGTGTCACCAGAGTTGGTGGCGGTCCTCCCCTCCCCTGTTGCTCTAAGCCATCATGTAGGAGAATGTTTGCTTGAAGGAACAGCTCAAAGCACCTTCACAAGGTGCCCTGACTTACCTGAGGTAGGTGTGGGGAGGGCGTGAGAGCCCCCAAGGTAAGGAAAACCTCTCTCCGTTAGTGTGGTCTTCCTGCCTCTTCCCCCTTTATTCAGCTCCCAAAGGTACTACGGCAGTTAAGCCTCAGGTACTGCACTCCTCGGCCCTGGCTAGGATGAGATAAACCTTCAGGAATAGGAAAACAGGATGCAAGTGTCAGTTGTGGCCTGGGGTCTGGGATTCCTTATTAAGACTAGTTGCTCAGGGTGGTGCAGGGACGGGACCCAACCCTGCACCCACTTTCTCCCTTTTCCCTCCGCATGGGGCCCCGATGTAGGCTGAGCCACTGTCCTACTCTCATGACGACATACCGTGTGCCTTCTTCCTCTGCAGCCAGCAGTGACGGGCTATTCCTGACCCAGGTTCAAGGGGAAATGGGTCAGTCTTTCGAGGTTTTTAGCTGGGTAGAGGATAAGTCAGGAGTAATTGTCCTCGGTTCCACCACTCTCCTCAGGGACTTCTCAATATTCAGCTTCTTCAGGCTGGTGTCCTCTAGTCCCCTTCACTGGGAGTGCTGGCCTGGAGAGCCAAGACACCCCGACTGCCCCCAGCTGCTCGGCACATCTGTCTGAAGTGTTCTTTAGCACTGTACTTCCTCCACAGTAACTGACCCACTGGCCGTGCCATTGCAAGGCTGGTGCGTTTCAGTCTGTCTTTTGTGGATTCCAAGGGTGGCTGGAGAACGCACGTGTTGGAGGCTGAGATTCTTCAGACATGAGAGTCACGTTCTCCCCAGAGGCCGAGCACCTCCTGAGGGGAGCTGTAGTCAGAGCTGTGCATGAACGTCCCTGGGTCTCCAGTGCGGTCGTTGTGTTGGAGAAAGCCCAGACCCAGAGCGACCCAGCAGGCGCCACTGTGGTTTGTCAGAGAAGCAGGTGCCCTACAGAGTGTGCTGCTGCTTCCAGTGTCTCCCCATGACCTTCCTCTGTGCTGTGACATTGCTGCTAAGGGGCGATGGTGTTTTTCAAAGGGACCTGCTGTGGCGAGCCACTTGATGATCATGAGCGTTAGTCTGACTTAGTACTTGTGGGCTTTCTATTCTCTCTGTATCTGTGCACGTTAGTTAACACCTAGTCAGGCAGAGGTGGGTGGAATGTCTTAATATCATGTTGCTAGCAGATGTCACATTGGCCTCTGCAAAAATCAGACTGTCTAGTTTGTGCATTAGTAGTCGCATGAATATACTGCCATGTCACTTTTAATATGATGAGTTTTATACTTGGAAAATGGTACTTGCCTCTTTTAGATCTTTTCTCTAACCTCTCCCTTTTCCGTCTCAATGTTCCCTAATTGCAGCAATACTCTTAAGAAGCAATTAAGTGATTAAATGTCTCAAATTTTAATCATTGTCGATGGTTGCATTCACTTGTTTATTTAGGCACGGCGCAGCGGGGGCAGTGGCAGCGCCCAACTGGCTGCTGGTGAGTGAGCGCCCCCTTGTGGTGAAATGGTTGTGTGTGGACACTGATATTAGGACCAATTGACAGACATGGGGAGCAGCAATTCCGCTCAATTCCAAGCACTTCCTCTATAGCTCCACCAGGAGTGATGGCCACACTGGTTTAAAGGAGGTCTGGAACTCAAGTCTTTAGTTCCCCAGGGCCAGGACCCTTGTTTTGTCATTTCCATCCACACTTACTTATACCTTAATGATGGACTGAGCTATATATGTGGTGGTCTGCAGGCAGCTAGGCAGTGTGGCTGTCTCACCAAAGGACAGACTTCAAGCCTTGCACTGGGTTTGGGAGCTGATAGAACCCTTCAGCTACCTGCACACGTAACCACTGGGTTATTCAGGTTCTGAAGGCTGTCATTCAGGTAACCCAGCTTTTCATTCTGGCTTTCAGCCCACTCCTACTTTGCCAGAATCGAGTCAAGGAACGCCGCCTTTGCTATATAGTTTTCTGCCAAATAGCTTGATTCTCTGAACGCCTACTTGCTTTGGGGTGAACCCTAGAGAAAGAGGGGCCAGGATGTGCTTGGCGAGGAGAGGCATGGCCCACCCAAGAAGTGGTGTCTGGATGCTTATCCCTGCTCCTCACACCTGGGACCCCTTTGCCTTCTCTGTGGGTCTTGGTAGCAACAAGCTGCTTTTAGCTAGGCCCAGTAGTAACAGAAGTAATGACAGAGGCCTAACTTTATAGCCACCACCAATAGCCTGGGTAAGCAAAAGTAAGGTGTGAGAGCCTTTTCTTGTACTTGCTGCTTTTTCATAATCTCTCCTTAACATCCTACCCTGTAATTTCAATTGCATTAATTTTAGAATAAGTATTTATTTCTAAAAATTGTTGCTTGTGTCTTTGTCCCACATAAAGATGCTTAATTTAGCTATAGTGCTCTCGAAGTTGGCATTTTTCAGCCTTTTATCCCTGAGAGTAATAAGCAGAGGCAGGAAGGTGACATACACATAGTCCATACCTCCATGTCTGGTGGCTTGCCCCCTGATCCACAGTCATCAGGTCAAAGCACACTTAGAATAATTTAAGTCAGATGTGGAGCAGATGGGGGACTATTGTCTGAATCTTGTTGGCTTGATATTAAACTTTACTGAGAACTTGTTACTAACAGAGGTACTGGAGAGAAATCAAGATTGCAGAGTAGAAGGACATGGAGCTCACCTCCTCCCACAGATACATCAGAAGTCTACCTACATGTGGAACAATTCTGACAGAAAACCTACTGAACACTGGCAGAAGCTCTTATACAACCAAAGCTGCAAAAAAGGTCCAACCACATAACCACGTAGGATGAATCAGGTTAGGACCTGCACCCCTGGGGAGGGCTGTGAAAGAAGAAAGATTCCTTCACCCTGGGAACCTCCTTCCCTGGCTGAGATCAGCCGGGACAGATAGGGAGCTTCAAAGGAGCGTGCAGCAGCCAGGCTGCAGCAGGCAGAACAGGAAAAGACCAGCAGAGTCAGTCCTGGCTACCTCGCAGTTCTCCCCAGCCTCAGACATACATTGCTGGTGCATGCGGGAGGCTGGGTGCTGAACCTTGGGCTTCAGCAGACAGACCTGGAGCAAGGACTGGGGTTGGCTGCAGGGAGACAGCCCGAAGGTGTTGGAGCATGGTCCAGACTGCAGCCAAGAATCTGCACAGGAAGGAGCCCAGGTCTGCTACTGAAGCCCAATTGCCAACACATGTGCAGAGAGAGGGGCGGGACCCTGCCACAGCGTTCTCAGCATGCTCACAGCAGGCATGGCTCCACCTCTGTGAGCCCTGGGAGTGCGCAAGCGCCAGTGGGTTGCCCACCCCGCGGGATGGGCTGAAATTTGAGCTGTGCCTCAGCGGCTGTGTGACTTCTGTGTATTTATGCTGCAGTAGGCAGCTTTGTATGCACAGTGGCTGTGGGACACCTGAGCAGATGACTGGTGCTCCCATGGCTGGCGTGGGTCCAGGTGCAGGTTTTGTGGGCACACAGAGGCAGGGGTGGGGCCTGGGCTGATTGTACAGCTCCCACGGCGGGTCCAGGTTCGTGGCTATGGTGGACCCCATGCCTGACTTTGGTCAGTCTGTGCTGGTGACTGAGCACAGCGCCTGAGGGACACCTAGGCCAATTGCCTGCATTCCCATGGTTGAGATGGGGCCAGGGGAAGTGCCAACAGTATACTTTGTGAGCCTGCACAGTGGGTGACAGGTGACACCAGAGTGCACTTCCCCATGGACAACTCCTGCAGAGGAATACTCAGTTGCTCTTCCAGCGGGAGCACTCTTGTCCCACGACCTCACAGCCACAGTTCAGAAATGGATCTGGGGGCTACTACTCCAGCAACAAGGGAGCAGACCCTGCCCCAGTAGTGCTGTGACAATTGCAGAGCAAACACAAGGCCCTGCCCAACATCCAGTCCAAGCTCTGGTCACCACACCAGTCACCCTTCCCCCACCAAGGGGATAATGACCAGCACACACCGAGGAAAGATGTGGTAGGCAGCCACACTAAAAGCCACCCTCACACCAAAATAGTCTCATGCAGGTTACACAGAGTGGTTCCCACATAAAAACAGCTCTTCAAGACCACAGTAAATGACTTTCTCCTAAATTCATATAGTCAGAGAACTATAAGTAAAATGAAGAAGCAGAGGAACCACTTCTGATGAAAAGAACAAGAGAAATCTCCTGAAAGGACAAGCAATGAAACAGGCCTCTCCAGTCGAACTCCAAGTTCAAGGAGGAGGTAATAAAAATACTGAGGGAATTAAGAAAGGCTATTGATAAAAATGCAGATCACTGGAAAAGGAACTAGAAACTATAAAGAGGAGCCAATTAAAAATTAGAAAACTCATTTGCTGAGACAAAAGCCGAGCTAAGGGCAACAAATAGACTAAATAATGCAGGAGAACAAAAAAGTGATCTGGAAGATGGAATAATGGCAATCACCTAATTACAACAGCAGACAGACCAAAAAAAAAAAACCAATATATGAGATCCATGGGATAATATAAAGCATGCCAACAGATACATAATAGGGATTCCAGAAGGAGGAAAAAGAGAAAAGGGGATCAAAAATGTATTTTAAGATATTATGGCTGAACATTTCCCAAACCTAAAGAAGGAAACATACCTAGGTATAGGGAGCAGAGAGGGTCCCAAACAAGATGATATTACAATTAAAATGTCAAAAGTTAAAGATGAAGAGAGGATTCTAAAGACAGCAAGAAAAAAAAAAAACAGTTAAATTACAAAGGAACCCCCATAAGGCTATCAACAGATTTCTCTATAGAAATATTACGGGCCAGAAGGGAGGGGCAAGACATATGCAAAGTCATGAAAATGAAAAACCTGCAACTTAGGATACACTACCCAGCAAGATTTAGAATAGAAGAAAGAATTTCTCTGACAAGCAAAAACAAAAGAATACAGCAATACTAAACCTACTCTAAAGGATGTACTGAAAGGTCTTATCTAAATAGAAAAGAAGCAAAAATCTATAGGAAAGAGAAAAATCACAATTTGAAAATAAATCACTTAAATAAGCCAGTACAGATTTTTTTTAAAAAATCAAAAAAAAAATTTGTGCAAGTGACGATAACTGCAATGAACAGAAAAGGATAGCATGAAAATGTAAAAAGAGTACATCAAAGTCATAAAATGTAGGTGAGGGAACTATGAAGTTGTAGATTTTTTTTTTTGGATGTGTTTGAGCCTACATGGCTACCAGTCTAAAACCAGTAGATATAGTAATGGATTAACATGCTTGAAACACAGGGTAACCACAAATCAAAAAAACCCCGACAGATTCACAAAAATCAGAAAGAAGTGAACACAAGTATACCAAAAAAACCCATTAAGCCACAAAAGGAAAAACAGAAAGGAACAAAAAATACAAAATCAACTGGAAAACAGTCTAAAATGGCAATAGATACATATCTATCAATAATTACCTTAAATGTCAATGGACTAAATGCTTCAATCAGAAGACACAGAATGCCAGATTGGATACTAGAACAAGAATTTACAATATGCTGCCAACAAGTGACCCAGTTTAGGCCAAAACATACATACAGATTGAAAGTGAGGGGATAAAAAAAGATATTTCATACAAATGGAAATGGCAAGAAAGCAGAGGTAGCGATACTCAGACAAAATACACTTTAAAACATCCAGCAACACATAAAAAAGATTATACATCATGACCAAATGGGGTTCATCCCAGGGACACAAGGGTGGTTCAACATACGCAGATCAATCAATGTAATACATCACATCAACAAGAGAAAGGACAAAAACCACATGATCATCTCATTAGATGCAGAAAAAGCATCTGATAAAATTGAACACCCATTT